TACCCCCACCAGCTTCCCGCCTGCAGGCAGCAGCTCGGGGTGGTCCACTCCGCTTTGTGCCAGACGCAGTCTGACTGGGTGTGGGGAGAGCTCTCCTGCTCTCTGGCCTAGACTTCCCTCCTGCTCTCCGGAGGAATAAAATATGTCAATTTGCATATTCCCTCCTTATTGGCTATGGGCACCGCCATCTTTATTGCAGAGTGACAGTTAATTTGCATATTACTCTTTTATTGGATAGGATAGTATATATGTATATATTGTGAAGTGATTACCATAATGAAGTTAATTAACATATTTGTCACCTCACATAGTTTCCTGTTTGTTTGTTGTTATAGGTTGTTTTGTTTTTGTCTTGAGAACACTTAAAATCTACTCTCTTAGCAAATTTCCAGTATAGAATATAGTATGGTTAACTATAGTCAACATACTGTACATTAGATCTCCAGAAATTACTCAACTTAACTGGAAGTTTATACCTTCCACCAACATCTCCCCATGTCCCCCATCCCTCAGTCCCCAACCTCTGGCAAACACTCTTCTACTCTCTGGTTAATTATATTCTACATATAACTAAGATCATAAAGTATGTTTTTCTTTGGCTTATTTCACTTAGCAGTATCTCCCAGGTTCATCCATGTTGTCAGAAATGGCAGCATTTTTTCTTTTTGTGGCTGAATAATATTCCATTGTATATATACACAACATTTTCTTTATTCATTCTCCTGTTGACAGACATTTAAGTTATTTCCATATCTTGGCTATTGTGAATAATGCCTCAGTGAACATGGGAATGCAGATAGCTCTTTGAGATAGTGATTTTATTTCCTTTGGATATTTTCCCAGAAGGGAGATTGCTGGACCATATGGTATTTATATTTTTAATTTTTTGAGGACTTTCCTTGTTTTCATACTGGCTGTACCAATGTAATATACTTTTAATTTTGTCAATACCTCTTAAAGATAAGGGATACTTTTTTGAATGGAATTAAAGAAGTCTATTCTCAATGGCACAGAATCAATTCAAGTATATTCATGTTTTACGTCAGATGGCACAGAGTATGGCTGGCTGCTTGGGCTATACCTTGTAAGATATCTCTACAGCAGCCATGGGCAAACTACGGCCCGCGGGCCGGATCCAGCCCGTTTGAAATGAATAAAACTAAAAAAAAAAAAAAAGACCGTACCCTTTTATGTAATGATGTTTACTTTGAATTTGTATTAGTTCACACAAATACTCCATCCATGCTTTTGTTCCGGCCCTCCGGTCCAGTTTAAGAACCCATCGTTGCCCTCGAGTCAAAAAGTTTGCCCACCCCTGCTCTACAGGGTTTCCCTGCTATGTGAAAGTAGAGTGTTCCTATGAAACCTTTTATAAGCCCAAATGACATAAAGGGAAGAAGCAATTAGCTTTAACTAATTAATTTGTGAGCACAGGTACTCACAGACACAGTTGACATCTATGGTGACTGAGTGTGGATCCCAAGAAGGAGCTTGACCGCCTGCCATGCTAGCTGTTCAAGGTTTGCGCTGCCTCTATAAAAGCTTGCTGCATCGATCAGACAGTCAAACCTCAGAGGGAAGGTAGGGGCGGGTGTGGGTAAGGGGGAGAGATCAACCAGAGGACTTAACATGCAAGCATATAGGCCTAACCAATGGACACGGACCACAGGGGTGTGAGCGCATGAGTGGGGGCATGGGGGGTAATGTGGGGATAAGGACACATATATAATAACTTAATAAAGAAATTAAAAAAAAACTACAAAAAAATTTAAAAAAAAAACACGATATCTTTCCTAATCCTTTGTGGGTTTGTGTTAGTTCTTCCCCCTTTCCAGTCTCTTTCCTGGATCTTCTGGGGTTCCATGTCCCTTATCCAGATTGACCCTTTCCCCAGATTAGACATCTCCCCTTTTTGTTTGCCATCTTGGCTCCTACTGCGCATGTGCCTAGCAGAGTAATTTCCCCTTTATTGTTCATTCCTCCGCACTCTATTTATCGGATTTGATAAGCAATGTTTACAATGAAAATTTTGCTAGATAAAAGTCTCCTTTGGTATAAAGAAATTACCAAAAATAATTCAACTGAATTATCTTAATGGGCTATGTAATCTGATTGTAATAATCAGATACATCCATTTGTGAGCGCATGAGTGGGGGCATGGGGGGTAATGTGGGGATAAGGACACATATATAATAACTTAATCAATAAAAAAATTTAAATAAAAAGCTTGCTGCAAAACAAACACTGAAAGCTAGTTTTGCTTTTTTTCATAAAAGCGAAAATCCTCTTTTGATTTCTTTAGGATAGCAAAATCCAGCTATTAATGTGGATCTTTCATAAAAGCTAAAGTGGCAAAAGGCAAACTTTTGAAAAGCAGGGGATACCTATACAGGGCATGTGTGTGTGTGTGTGGGCGGGGGGGTCAATTGGGGAAAAAGGAGACATATGTAAAACTTTAGACAAAAAAAGTAAAGAAAAAGAAGAAGAGGGACAATCTTCAAGTGGAAGTAGAGCACAGAGTGGAACATAAGCCGTATGGAGAGCATGAGAGCATTGTGAAGTAGTGGAAGGATTAAAAAGAGGAATAATGGGTTACGGCAATTCTGCCCAGGGCCCATAGTGTTCATAAAGCTGTACAGGGACAGCAACATGCTTTGTAGCCCAAAGGAATAAAGCCTAGGCTTCTCTTATCCTAAACTCCAAATCTTACTTTCTGACCCAGATTTCTCTGTCTAAATATAAGTGGAATCTTATGGGTCCTTTTCTGAACATGAATAATTATACAGTGATCAGTTTGCATTCATTCAACTTGGCTTATTATTTAACTGTAAACTTCGTGGCCCATGCGCAGAAGTTGGTATCTTGTGGAAGAGCCACACTCAAGGGGCCAAAGAGCCGCATGTGGCTCTCGAGCCGCAGTTTGCCGACCACTGCCCTAGTCCAATTGTCAACATGCTCAGAATCCATCTTTTACATGGGCTATTTTCCTGAGAATATTTTCCCAAGTGATTGATTTTATCCATTAGATTTTCTTTTAAAATTTCCCATTTAGACAGTAATATTTCTGATTTCACCTAAAATTTGTGGGGTGTACTGTATTTGGAACTTACAGTTCTGTTTACTGAGTACAGTTCACATGGCGACATATGTATTTTTAAAATTTATGTAATGCATTTCAAACCACTAAAGGATCAAGACTTCCATATTTTTTTAAAGTATTTTATTGATTTTTTTTACAGAGAATGGGCTATGTAATCTGATTGTAATAATCAGATACATCCATTGCTTCTATAGAGATGGAGCTGTCTAGAAGAATGGGATCCTCCAATCCTCTCAATGGCATGGCACTGGAGAAATGGAAATATTGCTGTACTCTGAGTCCCGTACTTTATATAAGGTATCAAAACTTTTTCCATTGCAATTTTTTTCATGAAAGACATGTTTAAATGTCTTCGATTATAGTATATTGTTATCTTTAAAATTGACACCTTCTTTTAAAGGGGTTGCTTCTGAATTAAGGAGCCCCTAGTCCAGTGGTCGGCAAACTGTGGCTCGCGAGCCACATGCGGCTCTTTGGACCCTTGAGTGTGGCTCTTCCACAAAATACCACGTGCGGGTGCAAACATACAGTGCGA